CTAAAAAGGCTGACAATCAATTGAAAATTTTTCAGTGGAACTGCTGTGGCATTAGGCATAATCTCACATCATTACAGTCGGTCGTGAGAGAATATGATGTTCTTTGCATTCAGGAAACTTTACTCAAGAGTAATAATGCCCTTAACATCAAAGGTTATAATTTTGTTAGGAAAGATATAAGTCAGCCAGGAGAGCGGGGAATATGCTTTATTATTAGAGAGGGGATCAAATTTGATATCATTAAACTCGAAGACGTAGTTCATCCATCGGTAGAATTTCTCGTGGTTAAAATTTACTGTTTTCATTCAGATCCCATAATTGTTGTCAATATGTATAGACATCCTGGTACTAATACTCCTGTCTCTTTTTTTAACTCTTTACTTAGCAACTTATCTAATTATAAAAATTTTATATTGATAGGAGATTTCAATGCTCATCATCCGTCGTGGGGATCTGGATTTCGCTCCTCCTCGGGTAAGATCTTGTGTAAAATCATCGATGATAATGACTTGTTTCTACTTGGAGGGAAAACGGCTACCTTTGTAAAAACAACGGGCACCTCGACTTCTGTGTTGGATTTGGTTATGGTATCTTCTCATTTGGCGCCTATTTGTGATTCCGAGGTGATGACGGACACTCTTGGTAGCGATCATTTCCCTGTAATCACTACGGTGGGTACTCAGGTATTTCTTAAAAGTAAATTCTGCTATAAGTTACCTGTTTCTGATAAAATATGCTGCGATCTTAAGAACGCCCTCTGTGCTGCAGCCAAAAATCTTCCGGATTTAACTGACACTGACAATGACATAATCCATAATTACAATCAATTTACGGAAAGTATTCTAGAGACAGTCAGGAGCTTTCTTCCAAAGGAAAAACACTTCCCGCGATCCTCAGTTCAATCTACTAAATTAGAGTCTCCCCCTTGGTGGAATGAATTGTGCTCAGAGGCGGTTCAACGCAGAAAGGAGGCCATTAAGGGGTTTCTCTCGACGCCTTCGGAAGGCACATATTCGGAATTTCGTAAAGCCCGCGTCGATTGCTCTAAGACTCTCTCGGAACAGAAGCGCTTGGGCTGGCGTAAGCTTGTTGGCAGTTTTAATTTTAGAACTCCCACCAATAAAATTTGGGCCCTAATTAGGAGCTTCAAAAGGAAATCGTCATGTTCGGACCTTTCGTCGCCGGAACGCATGCAGGCTGTCAGTGAGGCCATCTCCAAATTGTGTCCTTCTTCCTCGTTCTATAACAAGTCGCAGACACTTGCTGATATGAAGGCGGAGGATGAACTAAATCCCAATGTATGCACATGGCTGGATGATCCCTTTACGTATGAGGACCTTCGAATTGCAATCGAGTCATCGCGAGGTAACTCCGCTCCTGGCTTGGATCAAATTAGTTATAGGATAATAAAACTGTTACCTCTAGGTTTTGAAAGTTGCTTACTTTCCATTTTTAATGAAATTCTTTCTCAGGGTGTGTTTCCGGATTCATGGAAAACTTCGTTAGTTGTACTCATTCCCAAACCTGGTAGTAGCTCGGTCAGACCTATCTCTCTTATGTCATGTGTCTGCAAGCTTATGGAGCGGATTCTTTACAGAAAACTGAGCTGGTTTGTTGAGTCTAGTTCA